ACTTGTGTCGCTAAAGTTTCATCGGAAAGAAATTATTCCGGAAATTAACAAACGAACAGAGACGTAACAATACTAAGGAAGGTGCAGTGTTACGACAGAGGAAGTCACGCCACGCTGGGAGCTGCGGGCTGGAGTTTCTAGAAGGATCCTGACTTAGCGAGCAACCTCACGAATGTCCCAGCGTTTGCTAGACGCCTTCTTTTTTAGTATATAAGCCGAAGATAGATAATGGCTTGAGACGGCTTGAATGGGTAATGAAGAAAAACTTTAATATAAGTTTAACACAACAGCAAATGTACAACAAGAAATGTCTGCAGCCATTATTAGTCTCAAAGAGGGTTCCTCGTCACCGAATTTGAAGCCGGAGATAGATTGAAGAGAAAGAATTGAGATGATTGAGTCAAGCGAGTAGTAAAGTAAGTAAAGTGTGTGAATGGCTGTGAATTATAGCGTGTGTTTATAAAAGTAGTTAAGATTAAAGTGACTGTGGAAATTAAGTGTATTACAAAGATTGTAACTAGAAAGAATAAACTAGTTTTGATTAAGAAAGGGCTTGTATCGCTGAAGTTTCTCGGAAAGATTTTTTACGGGAAGTTATCAAACAAGCAGATACGTAACAATATGTTATGTTACGACAGCGGTAGTCACGTGACACTAGTAACACGTCATGAGATTCTAGTGGGATCTTGTCTGTTCGTGGCAACTCTAGTCTTCTCTACGCGTCCTCTATTTTTTATATATATAAGCCGGCAAATGATGTGACGGCATAATTGGAATAATTGCAGATTGAAGAGATAGAGACAGATAATCGAGTCAAGTCGTAAGTAAGGTGCGTGAATCGTTCGTTGTGAATTATAGCGTGTGTTTAAGTTAAACTGATTGTGGAAATTAACTGTATTGCAAAGTTGTATTGAGAAAGAATAAACTAGTTTCATTTAAGAAAGGACTTGTATCGCTGAAGTTTCTGGGATAGAACTTCTACGGAAAATTAACAAACGAACAGAGACGTAAGAGTTACATCAATGTTGTATTTTATTTTTGTTGAACATACACTTACTTGTACCTTGTACTCTATGACTTGTATTTGATCTACAGATGAATGATGGAATAGTGTAATTTACTTCTGTACGTCAATTCGGTCTCACTGTATTTCAGTGGGCGGCTTTTACAAGTTAAAACTGCAGCGTAATACACACAAATAATGTAACACTGTGTCGTATTTACTTAACGCAGGCCAGTTGGGCTATATCCTAGGGGATGGCATACTTACTAATTAATAGGCATTATAGGCCAGAGGAAATTATGCGCCCCTTCACACCTGCGCCCGGGGGCAACTGCCCCTTGCCCCCCTTGCTACCCCACTGGTAGGCTCCTATAAAAATATATAGAGAGTTTGTTTGTTTTGTTACGTCTCCGTTT